ATAGTCTACCCTTCATAGTGAGACATACCCTCCGCTGTATTCATACTGCAACCATATTTATTTTTTCTCTGTTTTATATTTGTTCATTTATTAAATTTATATCCTATCTTTCTACTGAGATGGGACTCAAAATAGCTCTCAATAATTTAAAAAGATTAAGCTAAAACTTTAGCTTACAAAAGTTTCATAAAATTAAACAATATTACTTAAAACATGTTTAAAACAGTTAAAACATATGAAACATAATTTCTAATAAAAGATTTTAAAAATACAGCAATGTGTGTGTGTGTGTGCATGTGTTTGTGCCTTCAAATCACCCCTCAAGTTATGATGATCCCTTGCATTACACAGGTTTTTCGTAGGCAAAAAATACTCAGTGGTGGCTTTTCCAGTTCCAACCTCTGAAATATAGCCTATAGCCTACTATCATTCATTGATTGTATCACATCCAACTACAAACCAGTGCTGGCCCTGGTTAGCTTCCAAGATCATACAGGAGCTGATGCCTTTGGGGTATTTAGAACACACATGGGTGTTTGTTTGTTTTTAAAGTCAGACCTTTGAATTTTAATTATGGAGCACACACACTGCTGCTCCATAATTAAAATTCATCAATAAAATACTCCTGCCTGCTTGAGGAGGGAGCGGGTCAAATCACTCCTTCCTGTAGAAGGGAGTTCCACAGTCTGGGAGCAACCTGTGAGAAGGCTTTCTCCTGAGTACTTGACAAATGTGCCTGCAAAGGTGGTGGGACTGAGAGAAAGCCCTCTCCTGTGGATTTTAAAACTCAGGTTGATTTGCATAAGAAGATATGGCCTTTCAGTTTTATTAAGATGTGAACATTTTGTGCAGATATGTGTTCCTTTCTGTCTTTTTTTTTAAAAAAACAACAACATAATAATGCTGCATTTCCTCTTTTTTTCAGTACTGCACTGCCTCTTTTAGCTGCTGGATAAGTGGTTGTCTTAAGAGAAAATCCTACCACAAATCCAAGAATTTGAAACATGGGGAGCAGAAAAAAGAAGGAAGAAATATAAGGAATATAGTATTTCAGTCTTGAGTTAAAACCGTATATAGGCACTTATAATGATGTGGGGAAATATACATAAAGTATAAAAGCAAAGTATCTTTTGCTAGGTACCAAAGACATTGGGAACAGTACCTGCTTGGGATCCTGCTGGCCAAATTGTCACAATAAAACCTGTTCCCTTTTCATTAAAAACCTATTAATCCAATGTGGTGTAATCACTAAAGTTGCTTAGAAATGGAGTGATTAGGTGCACATTTGGAAGATCCAGGTTCTACTCACCAGTGAGCCTCAAAACTTTCTGAGTGACATAGGCCATGCCACACTGTCTCTCATACTGACCTACTTCACAGTGTTACTGATATAATGATAAAGCAGGGAGTAGGAGAGTTATGCACATTGTGCCAAGCTCACTGGTGGCACAGTGGGAATTAAATGCAAATATAATTTATTCATATACTTATGAATTTACAGTACTTCTATCCTGCCTTATACATAATAAACCGGGCTGGAATACAGTTCATAAAAACAATTTTTGAAATCAGTCTAAAACAATTCATCATAGCCAAAGAACAAGGAACAAACAGAATGAAAGCAAAAACCCATAATCCAGTAGGTAAGAACACAGGTATGCTCACTACGCCCAAAAAGCTGGGGTAAACAGCCAAGTTCAAATGCATAATATGCTGGTCATTCAGTCACACACTGCAGAAATAATTCAGTTTAAGACTGCTTTCACTAGGGAGTTCTGGAAACTGTAGTTTTGTAAGACATTTAGTGTTCTCTGTCAGAGAACTCTGGTGTCACATTATAATACAATTTCCAGGATTCCCTAGCACTGAGCCAGGGCAGTTAAAGCAGTCTCAAACTGGATTATTTCTGCAATGTGTTTTGGATCAAGGACTTAGGCCACTTTCTTTCTGTTGGAAAATGTAAGATATACTAGTGCATCTCTCAAGCAAGGTAATCAGTTAGCCAGGCAGAAGCTGAACAATAACCAGTCCCGTGCCCACCCCCACCACACACACAGAGAAAAGTCTGGCAGAGAAAAGAAACAAGCTTGGGGGCTTATCGCATGGTCAAAAACCAGCTGGTCACCAATGGGATGCAGCCCGATGGCAGGATGCAGGTGGGTGTTACCACATGCAAGTTGCCACTGAATCTGCTAGGTGAGTGCAACCTGGCTGCATTCTGGGTCCCAAGCATGCTTCAGGGGCTGTTTTTTGCAGAAAAAAACCTGCCTCTGAAGCACGCCTGGGACCCGAAATGCAGCTGGGTTGCACTTGCCTGGCAGATTTGGCAGCAATGTGCATGCAGTAGCCCCTACCTGGATCCTGCCCCCCCGTCTGTATCCTGTTGGGGACCAGCTGGGATTTT